TGGCAGGGGGGGGGTTTGTCTCCCTGTTCCCCCAGCTGAGGTTGAGGCTGTTGATGAACTGCGGCTGCAGGTCTGGTGTGAAAAGAAAAAGCTCGTTCCCCACCTCTCGCCGGGTCCTGCCTGGGCACCTCTGAAAGCTCCAGCCCCGGGCATCAGAGTGGGGCAGAGAGGCTGGGGGGCCACGGGGGCGAGGGGACTGGGACCCTCAGCAGCAGCCTCCAGCCATCAGCCTCCTGTACGGTCCTTGGTGGCCTGGGCACAGAAGGAGGCAGGAAGAACAAGTGCCTCTGTCCTGCAACTCTCCGTGGGCACTTAAGACAATGATGAAATACTTGGGCAATCACACAATGTTTATTTAATGCCAAAAGTATCCCAGCCGCTTTATAAACAAGCATGAGTAATGGGAGAGCAGGGGGCAGAAGTTTCTCTTCCTCTCAGATCTTCTGAGTGTGCACTTCTGCCGTGATTTATCCTTGTTGCAACCTTATCGACTCGCTGGGGATGTAAATCAAGCAAACCAACATTTTACCCGGAATTCCAGTTATTTATACATAGATTGAAAGGATATAATTACGGTTGCTAAATATGGCCCGGCAGAGAGGAGAGACACAGGTGTCCATCTTCTCGGAGGTTAGGGATGGAAAAGTCCACGCTGGCTCCCTGCCCATCTCTGCGCATTAGAGCCTCGTGGGCACTTCTGCTGCTCCGCTGACGTGGAGGGCGGGGGAGCAGGAGCCCTGAGCTGACACACGGAGTGGGGATATATTTAGAGTTTGGCAATTAGTCCGTCAGTCTTTTGGAAAGGACCTGACAGCGACTTTCCCTTTTTTCCATCTCGCGTGTCCAACTTGTTCTGGGAAGAGGTCTGGACAGGAGAAATCAATGACTCCTACGTGTGATTCTCTTCATCTCTCCTCCGGGAACGGCGTTTCTCGGAAGGGGATGTCAGGCCATTCACTTGCTGTCACCGGGTGTTCGTTAGCAGGCACGGGTTTTGAGGACAGCATCCCTACGCGCGCATCCCTGCCCCACACTGTTCCCAGTGCCCGGTGCCAGGCTGGGACCTGGGGGCAGGACGGCCCTGCCTGCTGGCTGCCTGCGCCCAACAGCAGGGCACTCACGGCTTTAGAGGTGTCCTGGAAGGCTGCTCTTGCAATGGCCGTTCCTTCGCAGAGCTGGCTGGCCCTCGAGCTCTCTGTGCAGAGCCCGCGTGGCGACTGGCAGAGGGGCTTGGCCACCTCAGGGTCCTGGGCGTGGTGCCACGGGGGACGGCGTTGCTGGTGAGGGCCCTTCCCACCTGCGGCTGGTGGGAGCCCACGGACGTGGCTGCATCTCCAGGCGCAGGCAGGATCCATCCCAGCTCCTCTTGTCCGAATGTAGTGTCCCGTCTCGATTTTCCTGCAGATTTCTTTTGTGGTTAGAAGGGAGGAGTGGGCACGGGTGTGAGAGGTGTTTTACTTCCCAGAGGAAGACCTGAGATATCAGGGAAACGAACCCACATGACATCACCTTCACTAGCAGCTTTGCTCCAGCCGCTGGGGAAAGCTCCTGACAAGTGCTTTAGCGTCCCGTCAGAAGTGTGATGTGGTGGGAGACGGCCCCGGCTGCTGGTGCCCGGCTGCCAAGCAAACTTTCCTCGCTGCTCTTCTGGGTGCTAAATTAGTCCCTCTCTGCAGAACAGCAATCTGTTGTTAATTAAAGGATACCCAAGGAGGTGACAACACCAGCCTGGGTGAAAAATAAAACATGCGAATGCTTTTCCCTCGTTGTTTGTTTCATCCTGTTGGCTCATCCCCATCTTGTCCCCCTCCCCAGTCAGAGCTCCCCTGGCCGGGGCTCGCGGTGGGGCGGCAGCAGAAAGCCGGCGTGCGGGCAGCCCACGCTGCTCCCGTCCAGGGGCCGGCGGGACGGCGCATTAAAATAAAACAGTTACATGCTCGAAGGGATTTCAGCTATGGCTGGGCTGGTGGGAAAGAGATTAACGGCGCTGCTTTCCCCCTGGCACCAGCTTGACTGGCAGCTTGGGTAAAGAAGAGCCCACTCTAAGTGCTCCCAGGGGTCCCGGGAGGAACTCATTACGTCTAGACTGGCAGTAGCCGGCAGTTCTGCTTTGTGAGCTGTGAAACTAATGTTTATCCACCACTCGGTCAGATCCAGCGCCATTTAAGGAGGCCGCAGTATTGAGCAGGAGGAAGGAGAAGAACACTACCCAGGGTGCTGCTGGGCAGAGCTCGGCGAGGGGCACGGGAGCGGGACCCCGTCCCGACCAGCCGGCGCAAGGAGCGGTGGAGGGGTCTGCAGGGTCTCCATCCCACCCGCGCTTCAGCTCCGACAACACTCCTGCCAACCGGCCTCCAGCTCGAGGCAGCCGCTGCCCCTTCCCTCCGTAAGTTGCCACGTTCTGTAACAGCCCCTCCCTGCTCCCTTGTCGTCTCAGCTTTTCCCACCGCTCCCAGCCATCTCTCCTTCCCTCCGGCACCCGCAGAGCCCGCACCAGCCCCACACGCCCGTTAAAGGCTGGGGAGCGTCACGGCAGCGGCACCCAGCACCCCGTGGGTGGGCGAGCAGCGGCGGTCGACAGGCTGAAGTCACGTCCCTGTGGGTCGCCCCTTGCACAGCTGCCCCGGCGGACGCAGCGCGGTGGCCCCCGCCCATGTCCCCATTTAGATGACAGACATCTAAAATTCATAAATGTCAAGGAGGAAGGGAAGCGAGGACAAGAAAACACAGATACCAAACACCTCCTTTAAGGCTGCACACGCAGCGTAATGAACGCAGCCTGAACGCCTCCAGACCTGAGCCTGGCGAAGCGCTGAAGGGCGGCCCGGCGAGCAGGGACCCGCAGTCGGGGGGGACACGATGACACGGCCGCTGTGCGCCCACAGACCCATCCTGGCCCCTCGCCCGCGTGCGCTGCAATGCTCCACACCCCGGCAGCAGCACGCAGGGCTGAGCCCGCTGTCGCTGTCCCAAGGGTCTCGTGGGGCTGCTCCTCCCAAAGGCCTTTGTGGCCAGACCCCGCCGGCTGCCAGCGTGACCGAGGGATGCTGCCGGCGCCTTTCCTTGGCGGGCTGGGGCTGAGGGCAGCCTTCAGGAGTTGTTCCCAGCAGCCTGCCTGGGCAGCCGGGGAGGGAGCCCCTGGGCTGGGAAGCGGTGGCGGGAGAGCCAAGCCGTGTGCCCAAAGCGATGATTTGAACTTCTTTCCAAATGTTTTAAAGAACGTAAATACATGGGCCCTCCTGCCAGCTCCTTCCCTGGTCATCCCCTGGTGGCAAACAGGGATGTGCCAGGCGCTGCCGGCACAGGAGCCATAAGGAGAGGACTGCTGCGTCCCTGCTGGAGGACAGGGGCTGCCCGGAGCTTCCCCGCCGACACGTGTTCCCGCTGGAAACCATCATCAGCACGGCCGCCGCGCATGGGGAAATGGAAGCGAAAAGCCCCTGATGTTCCTGAGTTGAAAATGTCTTTTCTTTCTGTTCCACAGGAAACCTCACTGTTTACTTCTCCATTCCACTTCAAGGGGAACGAAAACGGGTCCTGAAATGATCTGGGTGTCCTATGGAAAGGAGATGTTGAGTTTTCAACAAGGAATCGCGTAGCAGAAATAGCCGGGACCCGAAAAGAAATGCGGGGCTGTCAGGCTCTTCAGTATCGGTTTTAATTATTCCTCTGCTGGGATTTTCTCAGAGATTATATTTCCACACTGATAACTGTTATCACTTTATTTTATAGCCTCGGCTATTTGCAGGCTGGGAACGAGCAGGACCGGTGCTGGGAAGAGTTTCCGGGACACGTTCAAAAGCGGGAAGTGCTGACTTTCATCTGCCCCGCGTACAAGGAGCGGGACGTCGTCCCCAGCGCTAAAGCCCGGTGCCGGCTCCCCGCGACCTTACGGCCGCCCCTGCGAAGGCTGGGGGCGAGGCCGGGCCGAAGCCGGCCGGGGGACGGGCACGTCGTGCCGGAACGCGGCGCCGGGCTGGGAGCTGCTGAGCCGGCCGCCTCGCCGCGCTCACCGGCTGCGGCCCCGGGAAGTTCCACGCCGGTAGAGCAGGGAAATGGGATGCGGGGACAGCTCGCTGCGAAGCACAGCTCACGTCTCTCTAGTCCCATAATTTTTGTTGGGAAGTTTTATCTTTTTAATTTGTTACATATCATGCATCGTCTGATTAATTATTGCTTCTCTGCAGGGAGGACTAGAGTTTATAGAGCAATATAGCATTAGTGTTAGCTTTATACACCCTCAAAGCCCAGAGGAAGCTCAGCAGAGTACTTATGCGATGTTCTGTCGATAATAATGACTCAGCATTTGGCCGGTTCGTGGGCATCCCGGCAGCGCTTTATTAAAGCGTACACAGTATATGCATCGAACATAAATACAGCCAGGAGATGCGGCGCGTGCCGTGCCGCATACATATCAGCTGGGGCAGCCTCTCCGGGAGAGCTCGGGGCTGGAGCAGCTCGCAGGCAGAGCCCTGCCTGCCTCGGCCTCTCCCTGCCTGCTCTGCCGGGCCCTGGCAATCCAAGAGTTTAATTGCCACGGTGGCCTGGGATGCACTGAGCTGCTCGGCGTGTCCTTCAGCTCCATGAACGCAGCAATGGCCACAATAAAATTCCCTTTACAGCCACATCTCTCCGTCGGCTGAGCAAGAGCCGTCTCCCTGAAGAAGCCTTCCCATCCAGCGAGCGATATTAAGGAGGTTGTATAACTGATTGGGGAAGGTGCTGCGGCAGGACTAACAGCAGTGAAATGCGGTTGAACATTTCCAGCACTGAGTAAACCATATGTCTTCATAATTTGATTGTGCCCCGGTCCCCCAGGTACCTCCCAGCTCTATTGAACACCGATGGAGTTATTTAGAATCATAAATAATATTATCAAAGAGGGTCTGCTGGGTAAACAGAGTCAGTGTATAAATTGTCGGCGCGCGATATTGATTGTTCTGAGCTGACTAATGAATTATTCTGTTTAAGGGCCCGTGGAAACAACGCTCAGCGTTTTCAAGGCAAGGGCCCTTTGAAGAAGTCCCCCCCGGTGCTGCTGGGCTTTGTGGTCCCGGCCACCACAGGCGGCGAGCGCGGGCTCCCGGCAATCGCCCCGGCACTGGCCCGCGTGGCCAGCGGAGCCCTCAGCGGCGCACGGCCGGGGCGAGCGGGCAGGGACCTGTGACCGAGGGGAGCTTGACTTGCCAAACATTGCCCTCACCTTCAGTCCCACCAGGCTCATCTTTTCCTCCTCCTTTTTCATCTTCCTTCTTCCTTCCATCTTCCTTCACGCAGCGCCTTGCGGAGGAGGGCCGCGATGCGACGTCCGGGGCTGCAGCAGGAGCCCGGCCGCTGCCCCGACCCACTGTGACAACCACCCGAGGAGTCCCACCGCCTTCCCCGGCCCAACGCTCTTCCCACAGGCGCTGAACCTCAGCACCTCTCCCACTTGTTGGTATTTCTTGACTTTTTGGGCTTCATCTCCTTAAATAGGGTCTTTTCCCTGGAGACATATTAGCTACCTCAAGCCGTGCCCTGGAACAAGGAGAAATAAGCCATTCTTTTCAACAGAACTTGCTTTTTTTTCTCTCCTCACCTGCATAATAGGTTCTGTTAAATGTATAGTTTTTCAATCCCTTTGATGTAAGGGACTCAAAACACTTCCCTGCTAATCTCATGCAGTGGTGCCTGAAACGCTGAAGGCACTGGCTGGGGATATGGCACAGAACCAGACAAGAATTATTGGTGTCTGGGGGGCCGGGGCAGCATTATGAGACAGCTCATTTTAAAATAAATTATGCCATTAAACCACTTTTGTTCTTTTTTCCCTGCTTTTTGGGCTAGAGGCTCACCAGAGAAGAGGCAACGCTGGAGCATCCAGCCATTCTGGGCACAGAGGAGCGCACCGGGCGTCTGCGGGCAGGAGGAAGAGGAGGGCAGCTCTGCCTGGGAGGAAGCCCCTGCCCGGGGCGTGCACACTTGCCCACCCACCACAGCAAGCCCCTGGCAGGGCTGGTGGCACAGACCTCCCCTTGCTTCCGTCCTGCGTTTGGCACAGAATTGTCACTAGGTATTGGGAGCTGACCCGTCCCCAGTCCAGCGATCTGGGGCTTTTGCCAGAGGAAGAGGAGCGACAAAACGTGTGATGTGGGGCCCCGCGTCTGGGAGGCACAGTCCAGCTTTCCAAAGGGGCTTTGCATGGAGCTGCGTTTGCGCTTATTTAAAAGCTAAAATTGCCCGAGTAGCGTTTTCCTGCCACCGGCCCTGCCCCAGCCGGTGCCGTGCTTTAGGCACAGCAGCCAGTTTAACCCTTTTTTTTGGGGGAAGAGCAGTGGTGGCCGGCGCCTTCCCTTCCGAAGGGGGATGGAAGCTGCAGCGTCAGCCTGTCGCTGGAGCCCTTTCCTGGGAACGTGGCTGCGGCCGCTGTTCCAAAGGCAGAATTTTGGTTCTCCGCAATTAATACCGATTTTGCCATAATACCTTGTATTTTAGTGCATTATCTTTCCTCCTTTCCACCCACTGAGCTGTGATTGCTACTCCACTTTAGAGAGGAAGCCCTGTTATTTTCCCTCACAAATAGAGCTGGGTCAATTTTCATAGCCCCTTTGCCAGCCCATTAAGCATTACTGAATTCACCATTTCGCACCGGTATGACAGTTTCTTTCTCTGCTCACTTCTCCTTCCTTCCTACAGCTCAGGAGGACACTTGCTCATCACCGTGGGTGTAGCACCCAAGAAACCCCAGAATTTCCTTAAGGTTAAGCAAAAATTTAAATATTGCCACGTCTTTACTGATAGGCAGGATTAGCCAGGGCCCCTGCTGAGCCTCCCTCCAGAAGCAGAGCGAGTTTGCTCTCTGGATACGATTTATTTACGTAATGAGGGTCTCAGGGGCTCCGTGAGGATCCCCCCCCCCCCCCCC